TGTAATGAAAATGAAAAAGTCATTGTAACACTTGATGGAGTGAAATTCACGCCAGGCACAGATTTTTTTTTTAAACATAGATAACTTAGTAAAAATAAAAATTCAGTTTGTAAGAATGACACACGTGGAAGTTGTCTATTCCTGAAAAGCTTGTGTTAAACTTGCCTTAGAAGGAATCTAACCCTTGGGATACCACACCAACATTATTCACATTTTCCAGGCAATATACAGGATTGAGACGACTTACGGTATCCTTATTACCCTCCTCAGAGCTTGCGTCTATCTGTGTGTATTTTAGACCTCTCTAAATGCAGAAGTTTCAGGTGTTTCTGGTGGGGCCACATGCCCAGCCACCAGACTGGAGTGCAGTGGCCACTCCCTGTCCCCGCAGCCTTCACCTGCTGGGCTCCGGCGATCCTTCCGCCTCACCTTCCGAGTAGCCGGAACTACAGGCATGCGCTACCACACCCGGCTGATTTTTTTGATGTATTGTAGAGATGAGGTCTCGAACCCGCGGGCTCAGGCAGTCCACTCACCTCAGCCTCCCAAAGGCGCAGGATGACAGGCTGAGCCACCGAGCCCGGCTGCCACACACTTCCAATCACAACTCTTGTGTCCCCCTCTTGCCTTCCATGTCCATTCCTTAGGATAGTAAAGGATGCAAGACATTTCATTGTGGCGGGGATGCTGAATAATGAATTCATACTTGAAAGATTCTTCTAGTCAGCTTCAAAGGCGAGCATAGAAACATAATGAGCCGGGCTCGGTGGCTCAGCCTGTCATCCCGCGCCTTGGGAGGCTGAGATGAATGGATTGCCTGAGCCCGCGGGTTCGAGACCTGCCTGGGATAAACTAATCCATGTTTCTTAAAAGAGCAGCTGTTCACGATGGTTTTGTGCCTGACTTCAAAACCTCAAGCTCAAACTTGAAAGGAAAATGGTCTTTCCTCCTGTCTCTTTCTCAGAGGCCTATTTCTCTCCTTCCTTGCCCCTTATTTCATCCACCCATGATGGCTGAGGCCTGAAGTGGAACTGTGGTGTGAGAGCTGCTCCACTCTGTGAGGAAGCCAAGGTTATGCCCGTGTTGGTTTTTGGTCACCGGCTCCCCTCAGCCCACTGAAAGCCTTGCGCTGCACAGGTGACGAAGTGACTTTCCACAGCAATGTCCTGTCTTTGCCGAAACGGCGCTGTCTGGTTACACAGGGCCCTAATACGACGTGGTGTCCCTGGCGCCAGGGGTTGGGGAGCCTGAATATCCCCATTGACATCAGGGCATAGAACAGCATGCCCGACCACTCAGATTTCGCTGACTGGACCTTAAGGCTTATGAAAACCAGTAAGTCTCTTCTTGGCTCTTAGCTTGGATACCCGACTTTACAGAGAATTCTCCCAGAAGAGGGAACAAGTTATCCCACCAACTTCAGGTCTCCCAAGAGTCAGAGTGCCTTCCTCAGGTCGGCGGTTCAACCCTAGGTGGCTTCTACTGGCTCAAGGCTGTTTTTGATTCTCGGGGACTTCATCTGTGCTCCCAGCAAGGGCTGTTGTGGATAGCAGGTTATCTCATGGGCCCACAGAACTAGGCTCATTTGTTCGGAATTCCTGCTGGCAGAGCAGAAATTGTGAGATGAGCCCCTTAAAATCCCAAGCAAAGGTGGCAGCAGGAAGCCCCAGTCGAGGGCCACTCCAGGACAGGTGGGAGCCTCTGTGTCTGGGAGCCTCTGTGTCTGGTCAGCCATGGTCATTCATGCATGCAGCTAGTATTTGCCAAGCACCTGCTGTGCTTAGGTCCTGTGCTGGGCACTTAACATATTGATATGTTTTCTGACTGAATGGTTTACAACAAAACTAGGCGGATGGTACGA